TGAGTGAGTGGAGGGTGGGTGCATCCGGGGCTGTGGCATTTCCTCCAGGCTGCAGGGAGGCCCCTGCCTGCCTTGCCCCACCCAGGCCTTCTGGGCCTCTGCCCACAGGGCCAGTTCTCCTGAGGGTGACACAGGTGACTTGGCCCTCTTCTCATGGCTTGTCCCACCTGCAGGAGGCCATTCAGCTGGATGGAGAGATCTTTTTTGCGCTCCTGCGCCGGGCCTCCCCGCTTGCACATCGGCACCTTCGGCGGCAGCGGATTGACCCCGTGCTCTATATGACGGAGTGGTTCATGTGCATCTTTGCCCGCACCCTGCCCTGGGCATCAGTGCTGCGCGTCTGGGATATGTTTTTCTGTGAAGGTACTTCTGTGGCCCACCAGGCCATGAGGGGCTGGGCTACCAGGGGTCCTGTCATGTTTCTGGTAGTCCAAGGACTAAAGGTACTTGTTGAGTGGAGGTTTCATCATAAGCAGCTGAGGGCTGGAGAAACTCCTGATTTGGTTCTGCCACCAACCTAGAGCCTGCTCTTCCTACCAGGAGCCTGTGACTGATGGCAGCTCATTTCCTTTCTTAGGGCCTCAGTTTCCTCATCTGAGATTGGCAGTAGATGGGGATGGAGGCTGTGCGTCTGTCCTGATCAGGACAGGCTCAGATGCTGTGTCGGACCACCCTATGCTCTCTATTCTCCACCCCTGCAGGTGTTAAGATCATCTTCCGGGTGGCGTTGGTGCTGCTGCGCCACACGCTGGGCTCAGTGGAGAAGCTGCGCTCCTGCCAAGGCATGTATGAGACCATGGAGCAGCTGCGCAACCTGCCCCAGCAGTGCATGCAGGAGGACTTCCTGGTGCATGAGGTAGGCCTGCGGCCTCAGCACACCCCCTGCCTGCCTCAGCCCGTTCCCACCCTCAGCTCCATTCTGTTATGCACTTCCTCTCTGTCCAGGTAACCAATCTGCCGGTGACAGAAGCACTGATTGAGCGGGAGAATGCAGCCCAGCTCAAGAAGTGGCGGGAAACACGGGGGGAGCTGCAGTATCGGCCCTCACGGCGACTGCATGGCTCCCGGGCCATCCATGAGGAGCGCCGGCGGCAACAGCCACCCCTGGGCCCCTCCTCCAGCCTCCTCAGCCTCCCTGGCCTCAAGAGCCGAGGCTCCCGGGCAGCTGGAGGGCCCCCCTCTCCGCCGCCCCTCACCCGAAGGGCCAGTGCTGGGCCTGCCCCAGGGCCTGTGGTCACTGCTGAGGGACTGCATCCATCCCTTCCCTCACCCACTGGCAACAGCACCCCCTTGGGTTCCAGCAAGGAGACCCGGAAGCAGGAGAAGGAGAGGCAGAAACAGGAGAAAGAGTGGGAGAAGGAGCGGCAGAAACAGGAAAAGGAGCGAGAGAAGGAGCGGCAGAAGCAGGAGAAAGAGCGGGAGAAGCAGGAGAAGGAACGGGAGAAGCAGGAGAAGGAGCGGCAGAAGCAGGAGAAGAAGGCTCAGGGCCGGAAGCTTTCACTGCGTCGAAAGGCAGATGGGCCTCCAGGCCCCCACGATGGCGACGACAGGCCCTCAGTAGCTGAGGCCCGGCAGGACGCTTACTTCTGACCTCTGCCCTGGGGCTGGACTGCATGCCCCCCCTCTTTCCCTCAGCCAAGAGCAGGCCTGGCCCGAGGTGCCACCCCGTAGCCCCTCGGCAGGCTGTCCCTCACTGGGGAAAGTAGCTTGGTTCTCCGTCTCCTCACCAGCTGCTGATCCCTACACAAGCAGGACAGATGGGCAGCTGCAAATGAGTCTGGAGCTTCTCACCTCCCATGAGACTCAGCTGGGGTCTCTGTCACTCCTGCCCCAGTTCCCTCCAGGTCCCCTCCTAGGTGCTGTCCTGAGTGGCCCATTGTCATCCCAGGGGTGACTCCTGGTGATGGGAGTCAGCAGTTTCAGATTCTTACACTCCATGGCTCCCCTTATGATGAGGTGGAGCTGGCTTCCTTTTTCCCATCTTCAGCCCTGCCTGTCTTCCCCACTTCCTGGCCAGGGCTCTCCTTCTGGACCTCTCTGTGTTGTAATTATGTACAGAGAATGGGGTTGGCCCTGGTTGGGGTAACGGGGGTCTCCCTTTATCTTCTGTTCTTTGGTTCTCCTTCCATAATGCTCCTGTACCCAGTTTATTTAAGGGGACATGCACTGGAATAGGAAATGTCCCCCATCTCTTTTCCTGCACTGTGCTGTGTGGTCCCTCCAAACCCACCTTGCTCTGTTCTCAGGCCCTCCTGCTTTGTCTCATCAGGACCCCTACCTTTCACCTTGTTCCCTTCTACCCCTCTAGTTACTCCCTATCTGGGTAAGGGTCTTCCCTTGAGCTCCAGGGGGTGGAACCCAATGTTTACATTCTCTTCTGTCTCTGCCCCCACCCCATGCAGCGCTTTGAGGAATCGGAAAAGAACCTGCTGTTGTACCTGGGCCTGTCTCCTGCCTTTTTATTTGATGGGGGGATGGGGGAAGGACAAGGGAGGGAGGGACAGAGCCAGGACCTGGGTCTCTGTTGAAGCAGTCTGCTATCTTGGCAAGTAGTTACCTCTTGGCTTTGGGTTCATCTCTCAGTCACTCATCAAACTGGTTGAGCTTCTGCTGCACTTTGCCTGGGATTTGCTGTCTCCATTGTCACTGGCTGCCTGGAGCCCTCTATGTACTACCTACAGCACCCGGATCTCCTTCCGAATATGCTCATGCAAATCCTGGGAAGCTGGAGGGGTTACTCACAGTGGCTAGAGGGTCACGGTCCTCTGGGGGTGAGCTCGGCTCTTGGCCAGCTGTCTGGCACAGCTCCTGGTATTGGGCCTTGAGGGGCGGCATCAGTCCAGCTAGCGGCCTCCAGCTCACGCCAGCCAGTGCCTACAGCCAAGTCTCCAGCTCTTCCTGGGTTTCTGTAGCCAGCTTGTAGGCCCGCCCACCTGTTCTCTCCACCTCAGGGGTCAGGATGGTAAAGCCATAGGGTTCTGTGGCCTGAAGGCATGGCTCCACCTGGCAGTTCTCCAACAGGATGAGGCCCAGGGGTGTGTGGTCGGTGTGGTGTTCTAGGTAGAAGAGGAGGTTTCCCTGGAAGATGAACCATCGGCGCCGGTAGCTAGGGTTTCAGGTCCCCTTCTTTAGCAAGATACCTTCCTGGTCTGGGACCTGTGTTCTGTAACCATGAAAGAAACTGAGCACCGACTTTCTGTGCAGTTTTATCGTGATCCAATATGGGAGGAAATGCCTAGGGAGAGAGAAGTGGTCCATCTAGTTGTCTTGGGGGATAGTAGGGGGGACTCCCATGCTGTCCTCGTCTGACTCCAGCAGGTGCTGCCTGGGCACAGTCTTGGCTTAGGGGGACGCAGCCTCCGAGTGTCATCAAGAGCTAAAGGTCCCAGCACAGGGGCTGACTCCCCCACTTCCCCCAGTCCCACCTCTGCTTGGGCTACATTCTGTTACCTGGGCAGCAGTTGCTAGGCTCTTTTGCTCAGGGGGGCTTCATGCTGCAGAATGGCACTGTTGCCCTTTTCCAGGCCTACCTGAGAGCTGGGCACAAGGGGCTTCTAGCCTGGGTACTGGTGCCAATGCCACCTCTCCAGTGATGGCTCACCTACCGCAAACCAGGAACCCAGGAACTCGCCCAGGGAATGGACGTGGGACACATGACTACCCGTGTGTCCTAAAGGGTGCTGTGTTCAGAAAGTGCCCGGAGAGCCATCCAGGGGCCCCAGGTTGGCCATCTGGTCATCAGGAGAGCCAGGCTCCCCCTTGGGAGGGCAAGGCTGCATTTCTCTGGCTAGGAGAGCTGACCACAGGACCACAGGAGTGGGAAGACATGATTTCTTTCTTTTTTTTTTTTGAGACGAGTCTCACTTTGTCGCCCAGGCTGGAGTGCAATGACGCGATCTCAGCTCACTGCAACCTCCGCCTTCCGGGTTCAAGCAATTCTCCTGTCTTAGCCTCCCGAGTAGCTGGGATTACAGGCTCATGCCGCCATGTCCGGCTAAATTTTTGTATTTTTAGTAGAGACGGGTTTCACCGTATTCCCCAGGCTGGTCTTGAACTCCTGAGCTCAGGCAATCCACCCGCCTCGGCCTCTCAAAGCGCTAGGATCACAGGCGTGTGCCACCGTGCCCAGCCCGAAAGCAGGATTCCTTTTTTTTTTTTTTTTGAGGTTGCCCAGGCTGGAGTGCAGTGGCGCAATCTCGGCTCACCGCATGCAACCTCCGCCTCCCGGGTGCTTGCAATTCTCCTGCCTCAGCCTCCCGAGTAGCTGGGACTAGAGGCGTATGCCGCCACGCCCGGCTAATTTTTTTGTAGTTTAGGAGAGACGAGGTTTCTTTTCTTTTCTTTTTTCTTTTGAGACGGAGTTTCGCTCTTGTTACCCAGGCTGGAGTGCAGTGGCGCGATCTTGGCTCACCGCAACCTCCGCCTCCTGGGTTCAAGCAATTCTCCCGCCTCAGCCTCCCGAGTAGCTGGGACTACAGCCGCGCACCACCATGCCCAGCTAATTTTTTGTGTATTTTTAGTAGAGACGGGGTTTCACCATGTTGACCAGGATGGTCTCGATCTCTTGACCTCGTGATCCACCCGCCTCGGCCTCCCAAAGTGCTGGGATTACAGGCGTGAGCCACGGCGCCCGGCCGAAGGCAGGATTTCTAGCGACACGGTAGGGGCGCAGAACCCTTCCCTGGGGGAAGGGTTACTCGAACCCAGGACAGGAAGACAAGAAAGCAATCCAGTGGCTCTGCTCAGACTTTGCTCCTAAATCCTGACACTGAGCGACCCTTTAAGTAGATGCGCTCCACTTTTTCTCCAGAGCCTCTACGGCTCAATGAGAGAATCAAAGCTACTTCCGGCCATTTCTCACGCCGGGTTAGAGTCTAGGAATTCTTAAGTCTCCTCTTTTCGCCACTTTCCTCCCACGCGACTGACGTCACTTCTGGCGTAAGAAAGGGTGGAGGTGTCTTCCCTCGCTCATCGCGTACTTCCGCCCGCTCTTCCAGTTGGTCCTCTGGCCGGAGTGAAGCCACTTCCGGCCTCCCCGGCGCATTCCTCAGTCCTCTTCCGGGTGATGGCGGCCGGGTGCCCCGGATGTAGCCCTGGCGCAAGCATCTCTTCTTTGCCGCCTCACCTCCAGCGGATCCCCAGGTGAGCGCGCGAGCGTGGGACCATCCGAATCCCCGTGGCCCTCTACTTTGTACGCAGCCCGGGACAGGTGGAGCTCACCACACGGAATTGGGAGTTCGGAGCAGGGAGGAACGGGGCGGCGAGGGCGCCAGGTCCTGGGTCCGCCCGGGCCCCGCGAGCTCCGAGAGAGCCTGGGTAGGAGGCGGGGGTCAGCCCGTCGAGCCTGGTGGTACCCAGACTGCGGGGGCTGGGTTTGGAGGTGGTCACATGGTGGAGCCTGTCTCCTTTTGGCCGGGGTCGGGGGATCCAGAGGGATTGCCCCTCCGTCCCCGCCCCATTTAATTCGAGGATGCCAGACCGAGTACCAGAGGCCTTCTGGCTTCCAGCTCCCTTTCCGCCCCTGCTTTTGTGCTCCCTTCCCTCTCAAACTGTACTTGTCACCAAGAAAAATGTTTGCTGTGCCGGGAATCCTCTGGCGGCGAGTCCCCTCCTCACCCCGTTCTCTTCCTCTGCATACTTTCCTCAGCTTGAGGAACACCTTCTCTGCCCTGTCATGCCAAAGAGGAAAGTGACCTTCCAAGGCGTGGGAGATGAAGAGGACGAGGATGATATCAGTGTCCCCAAGAAGAAGGTGAGGGGACCAAACTTCTTTGTGTGGGGGGAAAGAGAGGAGCTAGAAGCCTGAGGAGGAAGAAAGTTGGGAGGGGCAAGGCGGGCTGGCAGAGAAAAGCCTAGTTTTTCCAGGTTCACTGAGGAATGGATTGGGAGCATCTTCAGTGTGGGTCCTGAAATATTTGGGGAAGTAGGGCTGGGCACGGTGGCCCACGCTTGTAATCCCAGCACTTTGGAAGGCCAAGGCAGGCAGATCACCTGAGGTCGGGAGTTGAAGACCAGCCTGGCTAACCTGGTGAAACCCCATTTCTACTAAAAGTACTAAAAATTAGCCGGGTGGTGGTGGGCACCTGTCCCAATTAGTTGGGAGGCTGATGTGGGGGAATCCCTTGAACACAGGAGCCGGAGGTTGCAGTGAGCTGAGATCAGCCATTGCACTCCAGCTTGGGCAACAAGAGTGAACTCTGTCTCAAAGAAAAAAAAAAAAAGAAATATCTAGGGAAGCAGTTGAGATCCTGAAATATTTGGGGAGTATTTGGGTCCAGATCTGGCAGTATTTGGGGAGGTAGCCAGTAACCTGCATTTCTTGACTTCCTGGCTCCTGCTCACAGCTGGTGGACCCTGTGGCTGGGTCAGGGGGTCCTGGGAGCCGCTTCAAAGGCAAACACTCTTTGGACAGCGATGAGGAGGATGATGACGATGGGGGGTCCAGCAAATATGACATCTTGTCCTCAGAGGATGTAGAAGGTGAGCTGTACTCAAGAATACACTCTACTGAAGGAAAAAGTAGAGACCTCTGGTGGTGTGAGGTGAGGGAGGCCCCGGTCTCTTTTTTTTCATCCCCAGCAAAGGACACCCCTGTCTTTGGTGCAGGTCAGGAGGCAGCCACACTCCCCAGCGAGGGGGGTGTGCGGATCACACCTTTTAACCTGCAGGAGGAGATGGAGGAAGGCCATTTCGATGCCGATGGCAACTACTTCCTGAACCGGGATGCTCAGATCCGAGACAGCTGGCTGGACAACATTGACTGGGTGTGGCCAAGGGGCTGGCATGGCTGGGGCCAGGGAGTGGCAGAGCTGCTGCCTGCTCCCGTGGCAGTTTGTGGGAAATCACTCCCCTTCTTCCCATTACAGGTGAAGATCCGGGAGCGGCCACCTGGCCAGCGCCAGACCTCAGACTCGGAGGAGGAGGATGGCTTGGGCCAGACCCCAATGAGTGCCCAAGCTCTCTTGGAGGGACTTTTGGAGCTCCTGTTGCCTAGAGAAACAGTGGCTGGGGCACTGAGGCGTCTGGGGGCCCGAGGAGGAGGCAAAGGGAGCAGCAAGGGGCCCGGACGACCCAATTCCCCACAGCGCCTGGACCGGCTCTCTGGGTTGGCCGACCAGATGGTGGCCCGGGGCAACCTTGGCGTGTACCAGGAAACTCGGGAACGGTTGGCCATGAGGCTGAAGGGTTTGGGGTGCCAGACCCTGGGACCCCACAATCCCACACCCCCACCCTCCCTGGACATGTTTGCTGAGGAAGTGGCGGAGGGGGAACTGGAGACCCCAACCCCTACCCAGAAAGGAGGTGAGCTTGGAGGACACAGGAGGAGGCACTGGGCAGGAGGCAGACACTGGAGGCCAAATGGCTTTGCCTGTTATTTTAGAAGCAGAGTCGCCGGGAGATGGTCTGGTGGATGTGATGTGGGAATATAAGTGGGAGAACACAGGGGATGCCGAGCTGTATGGACCCTTCACCAGCGCCCAGATGCAGGTGAGCCGCTTTCTTCCTCCTTCTGCCTTGTCCCTGCTTCCCCAACTCCTGTCAGTCCTTCCCCAGCTCTGCCCTCTCCTTGCAGACCTGGGTGAGCGAAGGCTACTTCCCGGACGGTGTTTATTGCCGGAAGTTGGACCCCCCTGGTGGTCAGTTCTACAACTCCAAACGCATTGACTTTGACCTCTATACCTGAGCCTGCTGGGGGCCCAGTTTGGTGGGCCCTTCTTTCCTGGACTTTGTGGAGGAGACCCCCAAGTGTCTCAGGCAGTGAGGAAATTGGAGGCCATTTTTCAGTCAATTTCCCTTTTCCAATAAAAGCCTTTAGTTGTGTATTAGGGCCTTCGCTGTGCTGATGGCCGGAAGCCAGAGGTCTTCTCCACAGCCTCTTTGGACTCACCTTGGTCCCTGAGTGTTTGCTCCCATGAAGATCCTCCATGGAGGGGCCTGTCAGGCGTCCCGTGGCCTCCATGCCTGGACTCTGCTTGCTGTGTAAACACCCCCAACTGTGTCACTCTCTGGTTCTCTCTGAGGTTTCTTGTTTGATTCTCCTTAGGTCTGTGGCTTTCAGAATTTCAGATCCTTTGTTCTTGCAGCCACCAGGGAATAGAACACCAGAAGGGGAGCTTTTAGGACCAGGAGGACCTGGGCATCCAGAAGACACTGGGACCCTGTTGGGGGAGAGCAGGAATCCTCTTACTCTCACTCCACCCTCTCAAGCTCCTTAGACGTTGGGCAGAAGTGAGATGAGTGGCCCAAGACCAAGGCCTGTCCCTGAGGTTCTGAGAGCCAATATCTTCTCTAACCTGGCTTTCCTCTGTCCTTGCAGTTGTTCCCACAGCCCTTCAGGGAAGTGCAAACTCAGTGGCCAAGCATGGGCCAAGTGTGTAGTGTACTGGCACAGAGAGGGGCAGTGACTCACTGGAGGTCACAGGAATCAAAGGGCTGGCCCAGACCCAGTGGGCCCTTTCTCAGACTTTTCTTGGCACAAAGCCTTTGCTGTCTAGCCTTTGTGGCCCTTCGGCCTACATTCTCTGGGCCCCACTATGTGCCTGGCAGAGGGCTAGTGCCTTGAGGAAACTGAGGTAGCTGGGCTGGTCCCCGTCTAGGAATTCAGAGTCTTGGTGGTAGGGGCATGGAAGACAGACAGGTGTAATTCTGTAGCCTGGGCCTGGCACCCCCACCAACACTGCCTTATACCTCCCTTGCACCATGCTAGATGGTTTCTTCTACTTTTTCACTCTGGCTGTCCCTTGGAGTCTCCCAGGGAGCTGTAATGTCTTTTTGGAGATTCAGATTGAGTTGGTCTAGGTTGTGGCCCAGGCATTGGGTTTTTCAGAAGCCCCCAGGTGTTTCCAGCACACAGCCAGGCCAAGAGCCCCTGGGCCTAACCCCCATGGTTGATGCACACCTGGGGGGAGGGGTGGCTCCTGGACCCCACCATGGTTGTAGAGCTGAGTGTGTGTGACTCTGATGAGGTTCATTAGTTATGGGGGTCTGGGCACCAGAGCTCTAGGATGCACAGGAGCCCAGGGCAGAAGGGGCCAGATGAGCAACTAGGAAAGACCTGGGGCCAGGGTGCAGTGGGGGTACCTGACGCTCTTGTGAGGCCCCCTCTAGTGCTTGGCCACACTGGAATTTCATTGACTCCAAGAAGCCATCAGGGGTGAGATGCCTTCCTTTAACCATCACCAAGAAAGAAGAGGCCTGTCAGTGACACAGTAAGATGCCATTCATGTAAAGATGTGTCTTGATTTCAGAGAGGTCTGGAAGTGGAAAGCGGGTGTCAGGGCTGCTGAGTACAGGGTTCGCCTGTAGGCCCCAGGGATGGTCTTTTGGGGGTGCTCGGTGAGTGCATGGTAAATGGATGGAGCCCAAGGGCGCCTCCTGTGGGTGTTTTCCAAGCACTCAAATCTAGCCCTTCCAAAGCTGACCTCACAGTCCTTCTGAGGCGGCCTCACTGATGTTGGTGATGGGCTGAGTAATAGCCTCCAAAGATGTCTAGGTTCTGAACCCCAGAACCTGAAAATATGTTCCCTTGCATAGTAGCAAAAGGGACCCAGTGCCCAGTGCTTCAGTTCAGAATTTCTTTTTTTTTGAGACAGAGTCTTGCTGTGTTGTCCAGGCTGGAGTGCAGTGGCATAATCACTACAATCACTGCCTCCTGGGTTCAAGCAATTCTCCTGCCTCAGCCTCCCAAGTAGCTGGGATTACAGGCACGCACCACCACGCCCACCTCATTTTTGTTTTGTTTTGTTTTGTTTTTTTTTTTTTGAGAGATGGAGTTTCACCATGTTGGTCAGGTTGGTCTCAAACTCCCAACCTGTGCCACACGCCTCAGCCTTCCAAAGTGCTGGGATTACAGGCATGAGACACCACGCCCGACTTTTTTATTTGAATGAATGAGAGGTTCTTATGTTGCCCAAGCTGGCCTTGGACGCATACCCTCGCCTCCTGAAGCACCAGGACAACTGGCCCGAGCCAGCGTGGCTCCCCAGGATTTCATGGTAGGGAGATGACCCTGGGTGGTTGAGGTGGGCCCTGAGTAATCATGGGGGCCTTTATAAGGGACAGGGAGTCAGGAGGGTCTGCAAGTGAGGCAAGGAAGCTGCTGGCTCTGAAGATGGCAGGGAGGCCCTGGGCCAGGCAATGAGGTGGCCCCTGGAGGAGCTGGAAGAGGCATCGGATTCTGCCCCAAAGCCTCTGCAGCGAAACGCAGCTGCACTCACATGACTTCAGCCCAGTGAAAACCATTCTGGACTCCTAACCTCTAGAACTGTAAGATAATAAATTGGTGTGGTTTTCAGCCTCTAAGTTTGTGGTAATTTGTTAGCCCCAATAGGAAATAACTACTCATCCATCCAGAGGACACCTCGTGAACCACCCAGTCACCACCAAATTCTCCCTTCCTGTGACCACATTGCTATTTCAGGTCTCTGTCTGCACTTAAAAATATGGCTGCCTCTTGCCAGGGTAGCCTTTATAGCACATCTGAAACCGCACACCTTGGCTTTTTCTGTTTTTAGGGACAGGGCCTCACTGTCGCCCAGGCTGGAGTACAGTGCCGTGATCACAGCTCACTGCAGCCTTGAACTCCTGGGTTCAAGTGCTGTGCTCCTCCTGCTTCAGCCTCCTGAGTATCTGGGACTACAGGAGGGAGCCACTTCGTCTGGCTAATTAAGAAGAATTTTTTTTTTTTGGGTAGTGACAGGGTCTTGCTCTGTTGCCCTGGCTAGCGTCAAACTCCTGAGCTCAAGCGATTCTCCCAGCTCAGCCTCCCAAAGTGCTGAGGTTACAGGTGTGGTCCCCTGCTTTTCTTTTTTAATTGTATTCTTTTTTAATGTATATATGCAGTTTATATGTATACAGTTTGCAAGTAATACATTGTATAAACTTTGAGTAAGCTTTTTTTTTTTTTGAGATGGAGTTTTCACTCTTGTCACCCAGGTTGAAGTGCAAATGGCAGTCTCAGCTCACTGCAACCTCCGCCTCCTGGGTTCAAGGGATTCTCATGCCTCAGTCTCCCGAGTAGCTGGGACTACAGGCACCTGCCACCACGCTTCAGTACACTTCAGTGTTTTTTTTGTATATTCACAGGGTGGTGCAACCATTACCACAGTCTAATTTTAAAACCTTTTTTTCCTACCATAAAAGAAACCTGACCCATGAGTAGTCCCTCCCCACTGCTCCCCACCCTTCCTCACACCCCAGCCCAGGCAACCACCCATCTACTTCTTGCCTCTAGATTTGCCTCTTGTGGGCATTGCAGATAAATACAACCACACATGTGGTCTCCTGGGTCTGGCTTCGATTTGGCATCACGCTTTGAAGACCACCCATGTTGTATATATCGTCATCCATATGTTTTTTTTTTTTTTGAGATGGAGTCTCGCTCTGTCACCCAGGCTGGAGTGCAGTGGCTTGATCTCAGCTCACAGCAACCTCCACCTCCTGGGTTCAAGCAGTTCTGCCTCAACCTCCTAAGTAGCTTATAGGCGTGTGCCACCACGCCCAGCTAATTTTTGTGTTTTTAATAGAGACCGGGTCTCACCATATTGGCCAGGCTGGTCTTGAACCCGTCACCTAGGTGATCGGCTCGCCTCAGATTCCCAAAGTATTGGGATTATAGGTGTGAACCACTGCGCGCAGTCCTCGTGTTTATGGTTGAATAACTATTGTGTGGATGAATGGTACATTACTACTAATTGAACATCACACTTTTAAAAAATTTTTCTAGTTTTCCCATAATGTCCCTTTCTGCTTTAGGGTCCCTTCTAGGACACCACATTACGTTTAGTTGCCACATCTCCTTAGCTTCCTCAGTCTGACAGCTTCTCAGACTTCACATGTCTTTGTTGATTTCGACAGTTTCAAGGAATGCTGGTTAGGTATTTTGTAGAATATTCTATTTCTTTTTTTGAGACAGAGTTTTGCTTTGTTGCCCAGGCCTGGAGTACAGTGGTGCAGTCTTGGCTCACTGCAGCCTCTGACTCCCGGGTTCAAGCAATTCTCCTTCTCAGCCTCCTGAGTAGCTGGGATTACAGGCATGGAATACCAAGCCTGGCTAATTTTTGTATTTTTAGTACAGACAGGGTTTCACCATGTTGGTCAGGCTGGTCTTGAACTCCTGACCGCCTCGGATGATCCACCTGCCTCAGCCTCCCAAAGTGCTGGGATTACGGGTATGAGCCACTTCGCCCAGCCTATAATTTTTTTTTTTTTTTTTTTTTTGAGACGGAGTTTTTGTCACCCATGCTGGAGTGCAATGGTGCGATCTCTGCTGAGTGCAACCTCTGCCTCCTGGGTTCAAGTGATTCTCCTGCCTCAACCTCCCAAGTAGCTGGGATTACAGTTGCCTGCCACCACGCCCTGCTAATTTTTATATTTTTAGTAGAGATGGGGTTTCACCATGTTGGTCTGGCTGGTCTCGAACTACTGACCTCAGGTGATCCTCTTGCCTTGGCCTCCCAAAGTGCTGAGATTAGAGGCATGTGCCAATGCATCCGGCCTCAGAATATTCTTTAAAAAATTATTTTTTATTGCATTTTAGGTTTTGGGGTACATGTGAAGAACATGCAAGATTGTTGCATAGGTACACACGTGGCAGTGTGATTTGCTGCCTTCCTCCCCTTCACCTATATCTGGCAAAAAAAAATTTTTTTTAATTTAAAATAATTTTTTTTCTAAAGATAAGGTTTCACTATGTTGCCCAGGCTGGTCTTGAACTCCCAGGCTCAAGGAATCCTCTTGCCTCAGCCTCCCACGGTCTTGCGATTATAGGTGTGAGCCTCCACACCCAGTTGAATATTCTTAGGATTTGGGCTTGTCTGATACTTTTTCTCATGAATAGGCTTGGGTTATGGAGTTTAGGGAGGAAGACCACAGGGGTGAAGTTCTTTGCTTTTCACTTAAAACTTTTTTTTTTTTTTGAGACAGAGTTTTGCTCGTTACTCAGGTTGGAGTAAAATGGCGCGATCTCGGCTCACCGCATCCTCTGCCTCCTGGGTTCAGGCAATTCTCCTGCCTCAGCCTCCTGAGTAGCTGGGATTACAGGCACATGCCACCATGCCCAGCTAATTTTTTGTAGTTTTAGTAGAGACGGGGTTTCACCATGTTGACCAGGATGGTCTCAATCTCTTGACCTCGTGATCCACCTGCCTCCGCCTCCCAAAGTGCTGGGATTACAGGCTTGAGCCATTGCGCCCTTAAAACTTTTTAAAAAAATGTTTTAACTTTTTTTTTTTTTAATGAAAGCAGGTCTTGCTCTGTCAAGCCGGGTAGAGTGCAATGTGCAATCACGGCCTGAGCTTCTGGGCTTAAGTAATCCTGCTTCAGCCTCCCTCATAGCTGGAGCAAAAGATGGACGGCACCACTTCTGGCTAGTTTTTTGTAATTATTTTGTACAGATGGGGTTTCACCATGTTGCCCAGGCTGGGCTTGAACTCCTGACCTCAGGTGATGCACCCACCTCAGCCTCCCAAAGTGCTGCGATTATAGGCGTGAGCCACAGCACCCCAGCCTGAATGCAGCCTCTTGCCTTGGCCAGGTTATTCTTCAGAGAAGCTGCAGGAATTGGGGAAGGGAGTAAGTCCCGGCACCCCTGGCAGAGGCTTGGGGTGTCAGACTCTGTCCTGGGCACCTGCTGGGGCCCTGCAGGAGACAAGGACTACACAGGAGTCCAGGGGGGTTAAAATAAGCAAAAGGTTCGGATCCCCACACCTGAGGAGTGAGGGCTCTTCATGCTTCTGCCACACCTGCCACCCCTTCCCATGAAGTGTGGCTGGTTACCCAGACCTAGAGCCACGGTGGGGCTGGCTTGATGACATGCTACTAGTCGCTGCACCAGGCTCCCAGGCTTCCAGGCAGGTGGGTGGCCCAAACTACTTGCCTTCCAGTAGGAACCAAGCCAGAGACCTGGACATGCCCAGCTCCTCCTGATGCCGAGACCTGAGAGGAGTTTCAAGGGTGGATTTCGAGGCAGATGTTTTGTGTGGGGCCTCCGTGGAGTCAACAGCCACTCTCAGCTTCCTATACAGCCCAGTCCCCAGCCTCTGGGCACCATTGGGGGTGTGCTCTGCAGGGGAGAGTTCACACCCCCTGCAGCAGACCGCCCCTGCCATCTCCAGTTGGCCACTGTGGGTGGCTGTGACCCTGTCTCTCTAGGCCCCTGTCCTCCAGGAGGCTTCTCTGGCCTAGACTGTCTTTTATGTAAGATCCCAGCTTCTTAGCTGCCTGTGCAGACGTGGCACACGACCTGTCTGTAAAAGTCACCAGCAGGCGCTGGTAGCCTCTGGTTTCCCTGTTATTTATTTATTTATTGAGACGGAGTTTCACAATGACGTGATCTTGGCTCACCGCAACCTCCACCTTCTAGGTTCAAGCAATTCTCCTGCCTCAGCTTCCTGAGTAGCTGGTACTATAGGCACATGCCACTATGCCTGGCTAATTTTTGTATTTTTAGTAGAGACAGGGTTTCACCATGTTAGCCCAGACTGGTCTCAGACTCCTGACCTCGTGATCCGCCCACCTTGGCCTCCCAAAGTTCGGGGATTACAGGCATGAGCCACTGTGCTCAGCCTAATTTTTTGTATTTTTAGTAGAGACGGCGTTTCACCTTGTTGGCCAAGTTGGTCTTAAACTCCTGACCTCAGGGATCCACCTGCCTGGGCCTCTCAAAGTGCTGGGATTACAGGCATGAGTCACCATGCCCGGCCCTTTTTAGTTTTACTTTTTTCTGAGACACAGTCTCGCTCTGTTGCCCAGGCTGGAGTGCAGTGGCGTGACCTCGGCTCACTGCAACCTCCACCTCCCATGTTCAGGCGATTCTCCTCCCTAGTAGCTGAGATTACAGGTTCCTGCCACCACACCCAGCTAAGTTTTATAGTTTTAGTAGAGACAGGTTTTTACCATGTTGACCAGGGTGGTCTCGAGCTCCTGACCTCAGATGAATTGCCTGCCTTGGCCTCCCAAAGTGCTGGGAATACAGGCATAAGCCACCACACTCAGCTATTTTTTTATTTTTAGTGTCAGGGTCTTGCTGTGTTGCCCAGGCTGGAGTGCAGCGGGTCCTCCTAGCTAACTGCAGGCTGGACCTCCCACCTCAGGCCCTTTATTTTTATTTTTTGTAGACATGGGGTCTCACTATGTTGACCAGGCTGATCTCAAACTCCTGGCTTCAAATGATCCTCCTGACTGGGCCTCCCAAAGTGTTGGGATTACAGGCATGAGCTGCCATGCCCAGCCCGGTTTCTCCATTCTGATGGCATCATACTTGCCCTTACCTTCCCGATTCCCCACCCCTCCCTATCCCCTTT